TGAAATTGCGTTCTACAGGCTTAAGTCAGAACATGATTTTCATAATGATAATACATTTATCAAAATGTTTCTACCCCTACGATTCGTAGTTGTGGTTTCGAATACCACCACGTCGCCCGCGTGGCGCAGTGGTTTGAGTGTTTGCTCTAGAGTCGCGGAGTAAGGAGTTAATCTTTACGTCGTGGGTTCGACTCCCTCTGCGGGACGTGGAGACCGGTCCTTTGCATAAGACCGTATAAACCGAGGTCCCGTGTAGCAGTAGATGCTGGGACGAAAGAGATCCCTCACTGCTCAATGGCCTTGAGTGTCGAGTATAGATCTGCATTTGGCGTTTCCATATGAGTGAAAAATCTCGAGAGGGACGTTAAACAACACACAAACAAACTATTCCACTACGGGACGTGGAGACTGGTCCTTCGGATGAGACCGTATAAACCGAGGTCCCGTGTAGCAGTAGGTGCTGGGATGAAAAAAATCCCTCACTGCTCAATGGCTTTGAGTGTCGAATTTACAGCCCTCCACCGGCAAGTGGTGGTTTTTCCATATGAGTGAAAAATCTCGACGGGGACGTTAACACACAAACAAACAAACAATTTCACTACAGAACGTTGAGTATGGTCCTTCGGATGAGGCCGTATAAACCGAGGTCCCGTTTAGCAGTAGGTGCCGGCATGAAAAAAATCCCCCACTGCTCAATGGCCTTGAGTGTCGAGTATAGGTCTGAATTTGCAGCCCTCCACTGGCAAATGCTGGCAGCTCAAGGGACGTTAAACAACAAACAGACAATCAAACAAACATTTTTGTGTCGCCTGCAGAGCAGAGCAGCACTTAGCGATCAATTTACCTGGCGTCTGTCTTGCTGTCCGTCCGTCTGTCACACCTTATATCTCGAGAAATGTAAGAGGTATGGGTTTGATAATTTGCACATATAGCTTGACACTATGGCTTTTGTATTTTTCCATGGCTTCCGACCTAGATATCCTTGAACTTGACCTTTGACCTACTTTTCAAAATAACCAATAATGCCGATATACAACTTCTTTTTGATATTTATGAGGTAAGTCTATGCTATTTAGAATGTGCACTGTTTGTCATAAAACATTTTGAAAAATACCAGCGTTACAGTTCACTTGACCTTGACCTTTGACCTATTTTGTAAAATATACTGCGGAGGGTTTAATTTAACTTATGTCTTTTGAAATTACAGAGGCAGGGTTTAATAATTAACAGTTATACATGTTTATGATCTCATGACAATGTATTTTGACACTGTATGAAATAAAGAAACCACAAAAACTGAAATTTAAATACTATGAAAATACAACGGGATCGGTATTCCAAAATGGATGGTGTAGACTGACAATTGCTGATATGAAAGACTGAAGCCTCTTTCGAAGGATTGTTGAAATCACGTACTTAAATAATTTATATATAATTATTTATAATAAATTTATTCAAATTTCATTAATATCCATTTTAGCTTTCAGGGGTTAAGGATTTGCAGTTCTATTTGATTGTTAGATTCTATCGCAGTCTTACTATCCCTGGATTGTTTTGTTTTGTTTTGGGTTTTTTTTTTTGGCATGAACTACATGTATATTCAATGCCTTAGCAAATAAATAGCTGATAACTTTTAGACTTAGTTACATCTTTAATGAAGCTAAAAGCAGGCGACACATGCGTTCCTGGGAACACTCTAGTTCTGTAAGAAATCAGCAAAGATAATTAAGCAGAGATTTTTGATGAATAAAATGGGTTTTTTTTAAAACCTTTTTCTATAACGCTGACTATATATGCATGTATGGTCTGCGTTATAAAACATGATGTGATAGGGTAACGTAATGCACCTTGTACACGTACTCAAAGATGCCGACGTTTTTCAATATCGAAATTGGACATAAAACATATATACAATAAAATTTGAAGCCAGCGAGTTAAAAGTAATAAATTACAACTATATGGAAACGAAATGAAAAAAAAACATGTGTAAACTTGTCAAGTTGGAAACACTCAGAATGGGTATTGTTGGTATCATACAGACTGTGTCATGGCCTTGACTCAAGTTCAACGTCACTAAGAACAAGATGCTTTTACTGGATGTGTGGTCTGAAAGAACATGTGTTAACTTGTCAAGTCGGTAACACAGATAGGTTTGCGTCATAACCAGAGTGTGTCATGGCTTGACGCAAGGTCATCTGGACAAGTTCAAGGTCACGAAATAGAAAGTGTACATTATTTATTGTCTTTCTACTGGCGAAGCATTGCAAGTTGATAGTCCCTTAAAAGATTATTTATCATCTTAGAATATGGCATGACCTTGACTCAAGGTCACTGCTCCAACGGAAGACCTATTCGTTGCTCTGCAACGAGCTCGGCTCTAGTTTATTTAATTTTTTGATTATACCCAAGGGTACTCCAAAGTTGATATCAAGAAGATGCTCAAGTTTCAGATTAACAAAAACAATTGGCATGATTGTAGTAAGCATTACGCCCTCTTCCAAAATTGTGAAATTTAAGGACCCAGGGTAATGGGCTATGGTGCTAGGACGGGGCTATATACAATGAAGATCATATTATATAAAGTGCATTATTATTATTATTATTATTATTATTATTATTTTAATTTATTTTATTTTATTTTATTTTATTTTTTTTTTTTTGAAAATTTTCTCTACCCAATGTGTATGTTAAACAAAGTGTAAATTAATTTTATTCATGATGGTCAAGGATGCCTCTTCCTTAATTTTGATTTTATGGCTCCTGGGTCATACGTTCTAGTGTCAAGACGTGGATGCATTAATTATTTAGTAAAAATGCATTAATTCTTTCAACATCGTCTTCTATGCATGCTCATGGGTTTAGAGTAAACAAACGTGATACATGGTTATAATAAGCAAGGATGCCTCTTCCAAAATTGTAAAATCCAATTATTAAGAGTATGTTTACCAAATTTGTGAAATTTTTGACCACCCAGGATCAGAGGCTCTCGTTATGGGCTCTTTGATTATAAAGGAAAACGCAAAATTTCTTTGAAAATATTTTTTTTCTGCTCCTGTTTTTAAAGGGAAAAAAACCTGAGTGCATGGTTATGATGCCAGGGAGAATCTTTTAACATTTTAAGTTTCATGCCCCCCTGATTCAGGAATTCTGATGCTATGGTTGACCTGTATTAATTACAAACTGAAAATGCATTAAATCTTTGATTGATTGATTGTATGTTGTTTTATGTCCCATTCGAGAATTTTTCACACATATAGAGACGTCACCATACACCGGTGAAGGGCTTTAAATTTTGACCTTGGCATTCAGGGCCATTGAGCAGTGAGGGATCTTTATCGTGCCAACGCCTGCCGTGACATGGGTCCTCGGTTTTTAAGGTCTATCTCATCTGAAGGACCCGCAACTTTCACTTCTAAGTGCCGAGCGCATGTCGAAGGAACAGTTGCTACCCATTTTTTATCGACTTATGTCAGTCGCAGCCGAGATTCGAACTCACGACCTCCCGATCACGGAGCGAGCGCTCTACCGACTGAGCTTCCGTGAACGGTCATTAAATCTTTGAAAATCATTTTTCCTTAAAAAAAAATGCAGAGTTCTAATGAGCAACCTTAGGGTATCTCTTTCAAAATTGTGAATTTTACGTCCCTTGGGTCATGTGTTTTGGTGTAGGAGGGGGGATTGATTATTGATTATAAGAATTGAAAAAAAATAAATATTTCAAAAATCTTATTCTCTGCTCATGGGTAAGAAGCAGATAAACTAAGTGCATGGTTATAATGAGCAATGATGTTTCTTCCAAAAATTGTGAAACTTGTGGCCCCAGGGCCAGGGGCTGCGGTGTTTCGGGGGGGGGGGGGGCTCTATTGCTGATATAGTTAAATATAAGTGAATATGCATAAATTCGGAGACCAAGGTCTTCCAACAAACTGTTGGAATACCGATGGGCACTAATTGTGCTCCATTACTAGCTGACTTGTTTTTTTCTTTCCTACATGTACGAATTAGATATTATTCAAAAATTTATACATGAGAAGAAAAACACTTGTCATTGCCATCAACTTGACATTTGGATATATCGACGATATATTATCAATTAACAATAGTCACTTTCATTCACATGTCGATCCATATATCCCAACAGATATAGCCTATCACTGGGTCGTGTTTTGCTGACTTGTTTCAAATGTAAGGACTTTGTTTTTATATTGAATATGCGTACGAAATGTCCGTCTACTTGATCAATACATAGGGCTTACGACGGATATGACCGATCGACAAGGGATGCTTACTCCTCCTAGACACCTTATTCACCTGTGGAATATCCAGAGGTCCGTGTTTATGCACTTTTCACATATTTGTATTGTTTGAAGTTTTTATGAGATCGATCACAGTTTGTTATCTTCAGACTTTATCATGAATGTCAGATATAGACGCTAAGTCGAGATAATGTTTCTAATTGGGACATAAATCGTTTCCTTTGCGTATAAGATTGGCAAGACCCTAGTTCACTCAGCACATAATTATTTGCTAAAATGTGTCTTTCAAGCATTAAACTCCTTATCTTCATAAATTTGTGTATATTCTTTACATCTGGTGAGTAGAGCTATTTCATTTAAATCTCGTTGTAATAAATTCTCTAATTCTTACTATTTTCAAGACGATCTGAGTATTTTTTTAGACCACTAATGCTTTTTAGATACAAAATTGTACGCTGACTACTTTTAAGTAAAATGTTTTTACATCAACAGCAACTGCATACTGTGAAGTTAGTCTTTTGCCAAAGACAACAGAAGAAATTTTATGTGTTTTCCATAGATGTCATTTATAAAAAATGATAATAAAAAATCCAAATGTTATGAAATAGTTGGAGGCCAAAAAATCCAACAAAAAATAATAAATATTATAGTTCATTCTGAGGAAATTGGGTGCATATTATTTAATCTTTCTTTCAGTTGTCACTGGATCTCCCTCGTGTCCCCATGGTTGGTATAAGTATGGGTCTTCGTGCTATGTATTCATTGATGGTGTTTTGAATAGTTGGACAGAAGCAATGGTTTGTACTAAATCACCCTGTTTCATCATCTTTAGTGTGATTCGTTTTTAATTTTCGGGGAAGGGAATTCTTAAATTATTATACATATGTATTTATATCTAACTTTAAGTTAAACAAGGAGATCAGTAAACAAGGCGTGCACAAGGTCTATAGCTTCAAATGCATAAAAAATCATATTCAATTTGTGAATTTAGGATTTACAGCTAAGTTCTTATCATTGAAAGGTGAGAAATTATGAAAAAAAATCTCTGCGGAAAAAAAAACTCGATAAAAATTATTCTAAATGTGATATTCTTGGGGGGGTTCGAACCAAGCAAAATCCCTGAATATCAATGTTTACTTCAATATTAACATGCTAACCACTGTGTTGAAATGCTTATAACAAATCGACAGGTAAATTATGATTTTGTGATATGGCCCATGATTAAATGGACTTTAAATGTTGTATCAAAACTATGTATGTAGGTAAAGTATTTTTTTCTTCATGTTTTGTATGTTAACCGAAGATTATTTTAGGAATGACTCTAATTCTTGGCCAAATTATTCAAGTATAACCTGGTTTGGGTCAGTTTACGCTCTTTTACAATCCGCTTCGCGGATTATAAAGCGTAAACTGACCCAAACCAGGTTATACTCGAATAATTTGGCCAAGAATTAGAGTCGTACCTTATAATTTAATTTTAAAATCATTAAATAACTATGGGTGTAAAATTTTGTTGCTTTTTATTAGTTCAAATTTGGCGCTCAATAATACAACCGTAGTAACGGAAGTCATGGGAAGCGAGGGGAGGTAAAAACTGATACATAGGCCTAGCAGCCTTGTTGTTTGTTTACATGTGGTAAGATCGAATTATTGTTTGAAGTTAAAGGTACATTTATTAAATCTGGAATTTTCCATGAATCCTGAGGACTGGAAATGAGAGGATTGTATGGATACAGATGATTCAGCTGGTTGTCAGGGCCGGGGGGGGGGGGGGTTGTCCCTATACCAAACCAGGTTATACAGAAATAATTTGTGTTGCTTTTTGGATATTAACCAATCAGAGGCTAGAATACAAACAAACTTAAATTATATATTTTTACGCGTACTTTGAGAATAAACTTTCGCAAAAAAGGAACGACGACCCATTCACATAGGAAAATTGTGCATTGGAATGATGATTTGATCCATTTTGCCTTCTTTGGTGTATGTAAACTATTTCATAGACAATTAATTTCAAACTTTGTGAGACTGGGCGATTTATGGAGATTCTACATAAAGTACACGTAAATGTTAAATGAAATATGATAGAAAATTTCGTCATAATTGAGACTTATTTCTTCATTTCAATGTGTAATTGTGGCATAACATGCATTTTGCCCGCCTTGTTACTCCATTTTCTTTGTATGCGTGTATTCATTGCAGTCGAGAAAGACATAAGACCAGAAATACGTTTTCTAAATTAAAACTAAATAAATAAATTTGCTTAATAATAAGCATACACTGAATTTACCTATCACTGGTTCCATGCTTTGAGTCTTGCTTAAACTTGTAAGATAATTGGTTATGGACAATATAAGGTTATTATATTTTTCAGTCGTTTTGCAAGGGACTCTCTGCTAAATTGGTGGAAATAGAGACACAGGATGAAAATGATTTCTTGCAGCATCACCTTCAAAACATGATGCATAGTCGTGTGTATCTTAAACAAAGAGAATCAATTTTATCATTACATTTGAAATTGAAATCCAGTTTTCACCATTAAATCAAATGTGGATGTCTGTTCAAACTTTAACTTATCAAATCCTCCATAATTTCTTCAAAATATTTATTTATTAGTTCGTGCAATATATAATAGTGATATTTTAAATTAAAAAAAAAATGAATAATTCTCTGTCCTTTTTATACATGTAGCTATATACAAAATCTTGTTTTTATTTACTAAGTGGTGTCCTGAATTCGTTTATCAAAATTCAGACTTGACACTTTGTTCACTCATTGTAATGTTGAATTAAATATAAAAAAATTAAAAATGTAATTGCAAGGTAAATTTGAAGATTCATGTTCAAACCTTCTCTGCAGATAACTACTGGATCGGTTTAACAGACGCAATTGTTGAAAATGAGTGGTTATGGATGTCAACTCAAAAAGAAGCTCATTTCACTAACTGGGGTCTCCTCCAGCCAGACAATGCCCAGAACAGCGAGGACTGTGCAGATATGGCATTTTTCTATCCACAAGGCGTCTGGAATGACGAAAATTGTGATGCAAAGCTACATTTTATTTGCGAAAAAGAGTACTCGTCCTTTTTTGTACTTCTTAGTTATTTCTACCTTATACAGGTTGCAAACATTCCTTCTCACTTGTAATTAAGACTTTCTTGCTTGAAGTATGATAAACACTTTTGACAAGGATAATCCACTTTTAATAATCGCCGATAATTGAAGCTTAAAAAGTATTCTGTTATTCTCAACACTATTTATTTTTTTTTATATGGCCATTGTAATTTTCTCTATTATTCAACAAAAATTGTTTTTGCTCCGACTGTAATTCAAATACTGGTACTATCTATTGATATCAATTATGGAAGATAAATTCTTCACAAAATTATTCCAGATTTTTCTTTTTTTTTTTTTTTTTGTATTGAAAAAATGAACTATAATCGCAAATAGGTTGATGAAAATTCAGCAATGTTTACAAATGAAATACATGTAGTGGTTGTTTAACTACGCAAAATTCACATGGATTGAAGAAATTCAGATTTAATAATTTTCTTTTTTTTTAATATTCAGATTAACAGGAACAACACTTCTTCCAGTTGGTAACCTTGTTGGTAAATAAATCTTTTAAATTAATGAACATCGTCATTGCTTATCAGAATTAAATATATGGAAATAACGAAAGGTATTCAAAAACAGTAGCCTTAAAACATATATATGTGAAATTTAAAAACCTTGTAACGACTTAATGTATGCATAAAGAAAGCTATAATATCCGGCTCCCCCCCCCCCCCCCCGTTGCATGTAGATGGCAAATATGCTTTAGTAGTTGCTTCCCTATAATTGAAGTGAACAGGATTTAAATTTTGTATTCTACAATAATTACACATATGAGTTAAAGTTATAAACTATCCAATACTTACTAAACATGCCCGCTGTTTCCCTGAAAAAGAATAAAAACAGAATACCTTTTATGAATGATCACTGAAGTACCGTACTTGCAAGTGTGCTCGAAAAGTCAAACTATTTTAATTACCAGTAACTCACAGGGCTTAATAGATTTTTTTTTACCTATTCAATGTTTTATGTAAATCTTACAATTTAAAGTACCACTAAGTTTAGTTTTTATATAACCGCATGTCAAAAGGGCAATTTAACCTGTTTCAAACAAAGGGACCCCAAGCAAAGCAAGAATTATGAGTATTCAAAAAATGCCTCGAAGAGAGTATTTTATTTCCTTGGAATTAGTAATTGAGGTATCAAGCGTGGACCATTAATATTATACATGTATTTGGTAATTAAAGACAATTTATTATATAGTCTATTTATAGTCCCTATATAATCTATACAAACGCAAACAGTTCATAACACTACATATTCACTGGTTTTGAAGCCGTATTCACCGGAGGGTCGGTGCGCGTGCAGTGGCATTGTGACGTCACAATCAACATCTCAAACAACGTTGTAAACAGTGGTTGCAACGGCAAGAGCCAGCTGTGTATGTGAGCAGGAAAAACAGTAGCCAAGCCTATCTCAGGATTATTTTCTAAACATTTCGATGTCTTACAAACAGCAAAAGGAAAACACGGAAGTTATAACTTGTAATCTGGACATTTTTTTTTTTTATTTTTCCACGACAGAAGTACGTAAATGAAAGTGATATCATCATGCAGCCTTCAATGTCTTATTTATTCAAATCCGGACTATATAATAAAACAATTATGGACTCTTTCGGTGGTGAATATGATTTGTTATTCACCAGAAAAATATCAATATTGACCTCGGCCTCGCCTCAATCAATATTGATATTTTTCTGGTGAATAACAAACCATATTCACCACCGAAAGAGTCCATAATTGTATATTATCTCATACGAAATTCTATGGAACTTTGTTGAAAATTTGAACAATGCTTCTTGCGGGGCCCCATAAGCGTCTAAGATCAAGTTGGTGGACAATAAGCGTAATTGTGTGTAATTGGCAATGGATCAGCCAGTGTGCATCCTACATGAATTACGAAATAAGTCCCAAGGCTCCAATCCCCATTCTGCATGTCTTGAGCATAGACACTGACATAGGTGCATTAAACAAGCAAAATGAAAAAAAAAATCTGAGAAAACGAAATCTGGTGCCAGTTGTGTATGCTGCATCTCTTTGTCCATGGGTATGTGAGCTGTAAAAACTGCGGTTTACTTGAAATAGCGTACTCTTGCATATTCCTTACCTGATTAGCTTTAAATTGAATATTGTATTGTACCTGAAATTGATATCAATAATATCTTGACTAATCACATTTTTAACTCTCTGGTTTTGACATTTTCTCCCGAATATTCGATGACGCGGGCATAAAAATCTGTGAATAAAGTTGAAAACTTGTACAACTTGATAAACGTCACTTCAGACATACGGAATAACTGAAAGTGCCCCAATTCTGGTGAATCTTTCATTCAATTTGAAAACGAATATATCTTGGCAAATGTGGACGTACCTCCTTCAAGCACAATTAACCTTTGTGGAAAATTAAAAAAAAAAAAGTCAAGTATATACAGCTTCTCTGGAATTCCGTGTTATACCCTGAATGACCTTACCTTTTTATCAATTCTTCAAGACAGGAGGTTTTAAACAAATTGTTGTAAGACTATATGCGAATGATATGGCAAGCCCTTCTACAATTTTTCGTGAAAGAAATATTTCTTTCATTCTCTTTGAATAAGAAAGATACCTCTTTAGCTTAGAGAGATATCTCTTAAACTAATAGATATATCTCTTTAGCTTATAGGGATATCTCTTTGACTACATGCAATAGAGATATCTCTTTGACTAAGAGAGATATCTGTATAAGCTAGAGAGATATCTCTTCAAACAAAATAGATATATTTTTTACAAGAGAGATATCTCTTTTACTTAGAGAGATATCTTTTTAAGCTAGAAAGATATCTTTTTTAAGTTAGAGAGATATCTCTTTAAAAAAGTAAAAAAAAAAAAAAAAAAGAAAAAAGATACCTTTCTAAGTTTAGAAAGATGTCTCTAGATTTTCAAAAAGAGATATATCTCTAAGTTAAAGAATGAAGTTTTAAGTTAAAGAATCATTTTTCTAAATGAAAGAGATATCTCTTTTCCAGTTATCTTTAAAATAGAATAATGATTTCTCCCCTACCATACGAAAATGAGGCTAGACGTGACATGACAGGAAGTACATGTATGTCACGTACCTTTCGAAATAGTTTTGAGAAAAAAGACTCGGCTTGTCCAACCCCAAAAGGAAGTATGTAGAAAAAATTACCAAATCCTTTGTTTGAAACAATAAAAGGATAATGGCAACTTTGTTGATCAACATGCCAAAAGATTTATATTCAAACGAAAGTAAGCAATAATCTCAACTGCAATAGACCGAATTTTCTCAGCTTATGAAATAATCGACTGTTTCTAATTTTAAATCTAGACAATACTGAGTTACTTGTCCTATTAATTTAAGTTATAATGTAGAATAGGTCAAATCTAAGGAATACTTAACACCATTTCTAGAAGTATGCCCTATTTGGTTCTGATATCCATGGTTTAATGCACAGATGCTTGGGAACAGGAACCCCCCCCCCCCCCCCCACACACACACACACACACACCAGGAACGTTGCGCCAGTTTCAAAAAAAGGGGTAGCAATTTTCCCCCAAAACATTTAGGGCTCCCTGAATTATTTACCATGATTTATTTTTAAGCATTTGTTGATATATAATGCACCATGAAAATACACAATTCATGCAAATAAGCTATGTATATATATATATATATATATATATCACTCAATAACTTCTCTATTTGTATCATTAGTACAGACCCTAAAACGTGTTACTACACCTCAGAAACGAACCGTACCGTTCCGTGCAAGAAGCGTACCGTACCGTGCACAAAGCGAACCGTACCGTTCATGAATATTTTTTTTTTAAATAATTATGCAAGCCATGACCCGAAAGCATTCCGAATCTTGCAATGACCAAATACAATAAATCATTTTCTTTTATTTCTTTCAATGCAGCGCCCGTTAAAGAAGGACAAAAAATAACCCTAAAGATTCAAAATATTATTATTAAAAACCATGCATCTGGACTTACATCTGTTAATATAAGGAAACTACTTAAAACTAGTTACGACTTCAAAACAACTCGACAGAGCCTTAGTTATTCGCTATGCATGATCGGGTTGTGCTTGACTAACATTTTTTTTCATACCAAGTGCAGCATCGTAATATTTTCGTGTACAATTTATAATAAATAAAAGTGAATTAAATACGTTATCGTTTATTTCTTTAGCTCTTATCTACCCTATTCTTGTCTCTATGAACGTTCTCGGAAACCAAGACACATTGAAAAACGTATTAGGATTCTGTGCTATTTTCCGAAACCAAGCCCTTAAAATCATTTTTTATTCATGTAAGTAATAGTTTAAGGGAGAAATGATTACAGATTAAGCAACAACAACAACAACAAAATGAAAAAAAAAAAAAAAAAATAATAAAAAAAAATAATAATAATAATTACGAACTAAATTATCAATTTGAAAGTGGACACGTTAAAATGTAAACGCCTCTCAATCACTATAGGAAAAAAATAAATGAAAGCGATGTATATATATTTATATATAATATGTGTTAGTTTACACTCTTCTGACCAACTCAAAATGTTATCGCCAATATAACATACTGTCAAAAAGTTCGATCGCCACATTTTCGCATGGAATTTTCAGTTTAATACACGTAATCCAGAAAAAAAATCTGGATATATGTCAGAATTAGTTTTTATTTAAAGCATTTTCCCATTTCATTTGTTTTATTCACTGAAATCTGCAGGTAAAATATGTTACCTGGAATTTACACATAAAGCCCAGTTTAATCTCTAAAAAAAAATGCTTAGTCCGTGCATGCGTGTTCATCCAAGTTTATTTTTTAAGAAACACTGTACATTTCTTGCCATGGTCTCGTTATCTAGACTGACGTCTTTCTATACTTTCGTTATTTACTCTAAAACATTTGAAAATTTCGATCAAGTATTGTCATCACACGTGCACAGGTAAAAACTTAACATGCATTCTCTGTAAGCACCAAAAAATTTACTATAGGGCTTGGAAACGACATCTCTCCGATTTTGATGAAATTT